TGTCATTAAGAGCTGGGCTTTGTAATTGTCCCAATTAAATCTCCGATGACTCCTGCTGCTTCACTTTCATTTCTAGGCCTCATCTCGAGCCCAGTTTCTTGTTTAGGATCTCTGGGCGTTTATGGGCTTTTGCAAGCCTGGAACCTGCTCAAATAATTAATTGTTTAAGCATTATCCCATACATGCTTGTATTGAGTAGGTTTAGATTGAACTTAAATTAAAATCTGAACATCTTTAGATTGCTTTAGTTAGGTACAATCCCTTTAAAGAAAACTAGTGTGAGGTGTGCCATCCATGATTAAATCGCCTATGGCCCTCTTGTTAGTATTATAACTTAGATATTAAAAATGAACGCTCGTAGTTTGCTTTAAGCCCGTAATTAAATTATCACAACTGCGGGTATGGTTCCCATGGCATGGTTGTCACACTTAATTCGTTTTAAATATGAACATCCGTGGTTAAATGCTTTTCCTTTAATAAAATTGAGGTGTGCCATCCGATCACCTAGTTTACGGCCCTCACATCAATATCTTAACTAGTGTAGAAAATGTCTTGAACTTTCGTAGTTTGCTTTAGGCGCGTTAATTAAATAATCTGTCATAGCTACGGGTACGGTTCCCGTGACGTAGTTGTGATGGTTAATTTCTAAAATCCGGGGGTGCATTTATGTGACCCGGTCATAATTTAATCTTGTTAATAAAATAAGCATGTTGTGGATCGTGGGTACGGTTCCCGTGACATGATTCGCACCGTGTAATCAAATAATTAGTTGTATAACAAGTGGATTATTAAAAGCGGTTTAAAAGGAATAAAAATGTACATAGGTTTCAAAGATGTTTTAAAATCAGATAAATAGGCCAATAATAATAGTTGAGCGACCGTGCTAAAACCACGGAACCTGGGAATGTCTAACACCTTCTCCCGAGTTAACATAATTCCTTACCCGGATTTCTGTGTTTCGCGGACTGTAAAACAGAGTCAATCTTTCCTCGATTCGGGATTTAAAACCGGTGACTTGGGATACCATAAATTATCCCAATTGGCGATTCTGAATTTTAAATAAAATAATCCCGTTTCGATTGTCACTTAAATTGGAAAAAAACTCCCTATACCCTTTCCGGGGATAGAAAAAGGAGGTGTGATAATACTACAGTCTCTCAGATCTAACAATATTCTAGTGGATCTGTAGCCATTCCCTTTCAAAGGTCCCAGCCAAAGAGTCTCTATCTCTTCCTCTTCGGCACAATCTGAGATTCAGTCCAGAAGACATTCAATATCTTCCTTTCCTTCTAGGGTCGGAACTGCTAATTTTGACTCTAGGATCCCACAAGCCAAATATTCTGTAGAAACAACCCCTCCAACAGAAGTCAATTACGAACAACCTTAATTTTCCACTTACTCAGCTTTAGGTGATGAATTAGGTATTTTAGAAAAAGATTTTCAAATTGATAAAGAAAAACTTCGAGCAAATTTTTATTCACAAGAAAATATTTTCAAAAGAACTTGGTTTTTCCAGAATTTTCAAGGAGACGAAAGAAAAAATCTCCAAAGTATTTACTATGAGTCTTTAAACTTCATAAAAGAACAAATTAATTTCTTTGAATGATTTGAAGCTTATGCTGAATATCACAAATTAGATTTTCCTTTTTCAAAATCAGTTAACGTTTCAAAAATTTGGAAAAACTCCTCTTCAGTAGTAGCTAATCCTTTCAAATTAAAAAACGAAAATGAAGCTATTACGGGCAAAGATAAAAATATTTTTGAACAAAATAATTATACAAATAAATATTTACAATCTCTTGGTGAATATTTAGTTACAAAACCTCCTTCAGCATCTACTGGTTCTAAGCCAGCAGAAACCTCAACTTCTTCAATCCCTTTATTTAAACCTTATGAGATCCCTAAAACTTTCGCTAAGAACTTCGGATCCACCAAGCTAAAGACTATCCTCAGTTCTCTGATCTTCAGTCGTAGGATCCTATAAATTGAGAAAACACTGATAGCTCAGACACTTTCTTCACTAGTGCCACAACCTATTTCTTTAAACAAAGGCTCCTCCTCCAAGGAACACACTTATATTAAGAATGAAAGTGTCTATCCATTCATTCAAATTGAACCAGAATTCTGGCATTCCAACCCTCAGGAGGCAGCTAAGAAAATACTTAGCCCTTCAGCCAATTTCATTCAAAACACCCACAAACATACCCAAAAATACTATGAATTCATTCTCACAAATACCAGATTCTGCTTGTTTAAACCTCACAAAGAAAAGCAGACCCAATCATATGTCACACATACTACGCTGTGGATTAATAAAATAATCTCACCAAAAGCATGGGGAACTCATCCAGCCAAATACAAAAGAATGGATGAATGCTTTCACCTTCCAAAACCAACTTGAAAAGCATTCATGGTTCATACTCTAGAGTAAACAATTAACCTCTGAATTCCCTCAATGGTTTATACATCAATGGTGGCCTGCATATGGTCATAGAGCTAAAATCCTCCCAGCGCCAGTAAAAGAAGGATATGATTATTTCCGCCACAAGTTTTCTAGTGAACAACAAATACCCATACTCCTCCAATTTTCCCATAGATTTTATATCCCATTGATATACTCCCAGAAGTTTTCCTTCCACAAGCCAAAAGGACATAAATGACTACCGTGGTTAGCCATCTAAGGCCACTGCAAATGGTGTAAAATATGGGACATCCGAAGCCTATGTGCCAGCAGTAGACAAGTGGTTTCTGTCTCATCCGTAGCATCTAGCTATAACAGATGCTGCAGAAATTTTATTTTTACCACAAAAGTCCATTGCAAGTGCACAACTAGCCAGTTCCAGTAGCAGGCTTGATTTTATTCAGCAAATGGAGAAAATTCTTGATCCCCTCAAGACACAAATTCTAGGTCAATAAAATCAAGCATCTTCATCTGAAAAATTATCATCATCATCATCATCATCATCAGAAGAAGAAGAAGAAGAAGACCCTAATTTAATATTCTGAAAAATTAATCAGAAATTACATCAGCATGACAACACAATGACATTACAGCTGACATCATTCATGACATCAGCTAGCACTTACTCCTAATGACATTAGAAAACACTATATAATTTTTAGTTTTTTGGCTATCAATAGCCCCCCATATCACTTGTAAGAAACACACCTTACACTACCATTTTGAGAAGGAATTCTCTCCCTCTCTCTAGAATTGGTTAGAGCTCTCTCTCTAGTATATTAATATAAGTTTTTAACTTGTATTATCAATTTTTCAGTTTCAATAATAATCAAGTTTATATTTATTTTACTCTTGCCCAAGTTTACATTTATATTACTCTGCATTATGGTCGGTTAAACCACCTAGTTATCATCGTTAATTACTTGCATATCTAAGCCATGTCTTTCTTCCACCCTTTCTCATTCCCTTCACAAAATTCTTCCTAAACTTGGGTGCAGAAGACCTATATTTTGTAATCTCCACATCCTTGGTTGTTCGTCTCTTATGAGGCTTTTTGCTACAAGGTGGTAAACCAAATTGTTCACAGAAACTACCCAGATCTCGACGAGTCTGTGCTCTATCTTTCGCTAATTGTCTCAATATCTTATCATGTCGACAAATTTTGAGAGCGACATGTTGAATTGGATTGGTGAGTTGGCCATAGGTAATTTGTTCGTAAGAATATCACCAGAATGTTGATTTTATATATATATATATATATATATATATATATATATATATAGATAGAGAGAGAGGAAACATTTTTAAAATACAAAAAAAACTATGTACATTGACTATTATCTTGAAAACATATGATAGCTGAGTGTTGAAGAGGTATGAAGTTGATGTTTGGTGCAATAACGATCATGTTTAGCTTATTAGTAAAAAAATTGAACAAAATTAACAGAAGAACAAGAAAAACAATAGTAAAAAAATAAATGCATTTTGTTATAGTAACAACATAAAAATTCACATTTGAGAAAATAAATTAGTCAAAC